GTGACATTCTTTAGCAGTATTGAGAAAGTAACTTGAAAATATAGTGATGTATTTTTTATATATTACTCACTCATAAGTAATTGCATTACTAATTACTTAACAGCAATAGTAATTCATTACTTGGGCTAACAAAGCTGCCTTTAAACAAGCTCCACAACTAGATGTCACATTTATAACAGTAAAATCTTCAAGTTGTCACTAACTTAAGATTCATTTGTTTTATTCATTTCAAGTCAATTCAACTTAAAATTCTAGTTTTTATTTTCAGACCACTATAGAACTAAAAATGAGTGCACCCGAGTTGAAATCTTTTGACTTAAATTACATTTAGTGCTTCTCTAGGTCACGTCTAAGATGATAATTCACCATTGTGGATAAGTCAAAAAACAAGAAAAAGCCAAAGTAACAGTTATTAGTAAGTATGATGTAACTACTGAATTTCCAAGTATAATTCCTACTACTTTAGTTATATTACTGTAACACCTTACTAAATTATGCATTGCTGGACAACACCATTTGTTAGATACCCCCCACCCCCACCCCCCTTCCTTGTCAAAGGCTGCATCCTTCAAAATCCACACCTCCAGTACAGGTTTTACTTATTTATTAATTTGTGGTCTTGCAAACTCCCACACGCTGTCAGCACACCAGGTACTGGAAAACAAACACACATGAAGTAGTTAGCACATAACAGTGCTAAACATGTGTTCAGTGCCTGCTTGTGTTCAAATGAATGTAACTGGGGCAGAGTATTCTGGAAATCTATGAATATTCCACAAGCTCCAATGACAGGTAGTGTGGTTATTTATAAATCACATCCAAATGAATGTGCCACCAAATGCTCTGTCACAATCCCAAACAATCACACAGATGCTAGAAACGATCCACAACATTTTTTTAAGTCCAGGACCATGCACAAAACTGAACATAATTTTAATTACATACAAAACAATAACTGCTACCAAGACAGAAAGGAGAGAGTGGCTGCATAATCAGGCACTGAGTGTTCAGAGAAGACTAAATCCCAAGTCATACTAATGCAAATGAACAACTTCAGTACTATCTCAGAGCAGGGCGGTAATAACAAGTTTTTTAAATACATGGATAACAGCTGTTGGTACCACAGAGATCGAAAAAATACTGAATGGAAACATAAGCCTCTGACGAGTTTAATGATGCAGTACTACAGTTTGGGAGGGGGTGGAATCATGAGTGAGCCAGTCATCATCACACTGTGCTTCGATGAAATAAAGGCACAGTTGACTGAGTGGTGTGAAGCTAACTTTGCCCCGACACAACCTGCATTCTGGTCACACACATATATCCGCTTCCCTCCTACTTCAGAGGCAAAGCAACACAGCCATTTGTCAAACCAGCCAGTTGCTATGCATCTAAGCACAAAATAACACCAGTGTGAGGCAGGGGCAAGTAAATATTTTGTTGCATTACGCAGTTCGTGGATTGAATTAAGCAACTTCCGGCTGGCAGAAACACAGAAAAGCTGATTATTTCTTACTTTATCCTGATAAAGTCAGAAGGTTTTTTTTTTATCTTAATTTTCAGGACTTGTATTTGTAAGTCATGCAACTGACTTACTCCCCACTGAACAAAGCCTGAAACAGATGCAAACGTATACAAAACAAAATCTTCCAACACTTTCCATATTTTACAAGGCAGTATCTGAGATCATGTTACAGATGCAGATTTAAAGGAAACAGAGGGCCAGAGCAATCAATATGCATAAAGGCATCAATAACTGTGTAGACTGGACAACAATAAGCACTTAATCCCCCTTTCTACATACAGTCACTGGAAGAACAATTGCACAGTAAACAGATGAGACCAGTTAATTTCACCACCAGTCTCCGCTTTGGAAACAACATATAGGTGTGTTAAACTTTCTTCAACACCTAACAGGTGGTCAGAGTTCATTGCACATGCACAGTTTACTCTACAAAGCAAGACCAAGATGGGACAAAGCAAATTAGCTTCTTTTCTTTCTAAGAACTGCAAGAACTGCGGGGTGTTCACATTATTTTACATCAGGTTAAAAATTACACATGGCCAAAAGAACCACTTGGGTCTGCCAAAGACCTAAGCTAGAGCCTGAGTAAGACCGGATCCAAATCTTTCTAATATCTTTTAAATTAAGCATGCAGGGTAGGGTATTACTCTTCTGTTGCAGGTCTTGGGTATGACTCAGTTTTGCTATGACAGAATCACTGAAGGAATAAGTAACCTATCTAAAATAGTTCCCTGTGGTCTGTCTTTCACCCATGTAGCTACAGAATGTTTTATAGTTGTGGCAGGAGGTGAAAACGTATTTGTATAATGCATGGAATGAAAAAGACAAAATCTTTGGCCCTGCTGCTTCAGCTTTGATCCATCTGTAAAAACTGCCCATTGTGTGTATGACAACTTTATAGGAGTGTGGTGCTACATTGGTGGAGTACACAGGAGAGCCTCTCCTTGTAGCGCCGCTAGCTCAGCTACAGCACAGGAAGTCACACAGTGGCTCTCTCAAAGAGCAAAAAACATTTGTGTAGTAACTGTCAGAGCTCCACCAGACTCCCTGTCTCTTAAGCAGAAAAAAGGAAAGTCCAACAGTAGCTCCTCATGGCCACTAGATCTGGCTCAGTCCATGTCACTCTGAGTGGTTGCCAGTCTCCACCCTGTCTCCTGACCTTCTGCATCACACATTATGTATCCACATGGCCACACCTCCTAGCAGCTCCTTTAGCAGAATTTAAGGGTGTAGTTACCCTTTAAGTGAGCAGAACATCCAAAAGATCCACAAATTACATCCATAGATGTAATACATATATGCACTATTGCCTCAATTTTAGAAAGTTTAGTATACTTGGTGTTCATACAATCTACTCAAAATAAACAAAAATGGTTACAGAAGGTACAACATCTGCAGATTTAGCCACAATCCTTGCAACTCTGCTTAGTTACACTGTTGATATCACATACAAATATCTGGGATTTTTAAAGAATCAAAATGGATGGTGATGAGAGCATATGTGGCATGAGCAGTGTAGACAGTAGAGAGCTCATCAGGACAGAAGAGAATGAGACTAAACCCACACCAGGTGTCCTCTTTGTTGGATCAGTGCTTGAAGGCTACATATTTCAAGTACAAGGAGAAACATGACAGCGCTACAAGTGTGCACCTGTAGACACACAGAGAGATGAAACCATATATAGGGAGATATATCACATCAGTTAATGTTCTGGAGAGTGCCAACAGTAGAAAAGGAGGAGGTGAGCTTGATATTAAGGTTTTTTAAAAAGCCATTTACTATCTGCTTTGTGATTCACACCATCCACACCAACCAGAGAGGCATGAACTGAAAGTAATGTGGACCTCACACCACAGTGCAGAGGCCATATCGACGTACAGTATACAAAGGTCAAAAAAACCCACTCTAACATCAAATGTGGAAAGCCTGCACTTAGTCTCACTGAACTTTCATTAGAAATAAAAAGGAACCATAAAACGTCAAATGGGAAAGAAACACAAATCACAATGAAAAGGAACATATTGTCTTACAATATATGACAGAAAGCTGTGTAGACTTATGAAGGCTTTTTTCCACAACGTAAAATTGTTTTTCAGACCTGGCAATATGTTGACACAGAACCTGGTTTATTTGAGGGGCCTCTTTGGTAAACATTTCTGAGGAGGAGCACACCTGTACATTAGTGAGTGGAAACAGCACAGTCACAAAGACATGTGGAACAGTACAAACCAACATAGCCACTTTACACACACACACACACAGCCTAACACATGTACATTTTCAAATTTTCAAATGATGTGATCTCACAGTTAAAGACATCTTATGACTCCTTTCATAAAAGAGAACTGAGCAGAGTCACAGTGAGTCTACACATACAATACAAGACAAGAAAAGCCCAGAAGAAGAGAGTAATCTTAGCTCTTGCTCTTACCTTTTCCTTCTGTTGACACCTTTAATCTTATATTGACTAAATATAAAGGCCCAATAATCTGCTTCCAAAGCTGCTTCACTGTTCAGAAGCATTTTGCTTCACAGTGATATTTTCCCTGTAGCCATGTGTCGCTTCCTCTGTGCCTCTCAGGAGTCTAACATAATTGCATTCATTATCCAATCTACACACCTACCTCCTATTGTAAGTTCCAGCTTGACCCAACCGCCATTCAGAACACACCTCCCTGGGCAACTGTAATTGATGTAACAGCTAATTACAATTTACAAACATAGTAGGTAAACACAAGTCTTTAGGACACTCTCTATCTCCTTCCTCCACAGGCACAAACCTATAGGTGAGGTTTGTGCCCTTTGAACCCCCTCTCCAATCCTGCCTTTACAAATCACCATGAAGCTTTTGAAGCCACTGTCCCAGGGTTTTCATCTCTTCACATCTCTCCTCATTTGTTTAAGAGCTCTCTGGGCCTTGCTGAACAGCTGCAATGAACTCCAAGAAAAAGCACCCAGAGAAAGAAGGGCAGCATGGGCAGCCAGGCAGGGCATTACTGTGCTGTACAGCGCTTGATGCTAATATGCTGCTCACAATAATCTACAAAGCTTTAGCAGTGCAGCAAAGTTTGTCACTCATTTTCTAAGATAGCCTTCAATGATTTCACCACTTGTGAAGTAATCCAGAAAGTTCCGCTACTGTGCTTCTACTTCACAACTGCAGTTGTAATGGGAGTTGTTCGTGTTCTACCCTAGTGGATTTGGAGGATGAGGAGGCCCCCTACCAGCTTGTGTGCAGTAGGTGGTGGAAGTCCTCATGAGCAAAAACAAAACACTGACAAACAAACAAATACTCAACAGCAGCATGGGGACTGAATGGCAAGATCAGAGATTTGATGCTTTATCATGCTGATAAACACAATAATTTGCACTAGGATAGAAATAGGTAAGATATAAACTGTCAGGTAATGAGCTCAGAAAGTTCTGGCCTGATGAAGAAAAGGTGATTTCAAATAAAAACCAATTGAGATTTACCCAAAAGATGCAGACTTCCATTTGCGACATGGGTAACTTCTTCTACATGGAGGGGCAGTTAGACTTAGAGGGATCTCCGAGACTTCTATGGGCAAAGAGGTGTGGCGCCTGCAACGTAAAAAGAGAAAGGCACATTGAAAGGGCTCATAATGCACATTTCTTGTAGTTCAAGAAAATATAATAGTTTGCATGGATGATGACGTGTTTTTTTTCTGCAGCATGAATTGTATCATACTGTGTACTAGTGAGGGGATCCGTCGGCACATTAATTCCCTCTGAGTTGAATGCTGCATTTGGCAGAACGAGAGATTACTTCCGTCCACTGGTTGCAGCATTTTAATGACTTCAAATCATGGCCGGGAACACTCATGTATGCATTATCACAATGGGCTGAATCAGCACACAGAGCTCAGTGCCAGGTAGAGAGCAGAGACCAGGGGAAGAGGAGGAAAAAGGGAGACAGGAGATTAGAAATGATCAGAATGTACCAGGCAGAGTGTAATGTGAGACAACAACAGAGGCTGTGGAGAACAGATATGAACAGGAAGGAAGCAGGAGACAGGAGGAAGCAGATTAGAATTACTTTCTGTTATCTCAAATGTTAGTATGAGTGACCTTCACAGTTCAAAACTCTGAAGTTCCATTAACTGCCAACAATACATGCTTTAACATGTAAATTACAGTAAAGAAGATCAATGATATTTCAGGACATATTTTAATAAAGGTAACAGTGTAGAAGTAACATAATCAAAACGTTTGACAATAGAAACTGGGGATTAAGCCAGCCAGCTAGTTGCTAACCGCCCAGGATCATGAGTCTTTACAGTTCATTTCAATTGATTTACAAGCCTTATTTTGACAATATATGTTTTGAAAAACAATAAATGTCATTCAACTTGACTCTGACTGTTGAGAAGCATCTAAAAACAAATTATTTCTATGTCATGAACAGAACAAACAGTCCTGGGAATTTACAGTGATATATAGTTTTTACTAATAGCCTATTGTACCTAAGCAATAAAATTCATTGTCAGTGACTGCCTTCCAAGACAATCCAGATGGCTGATTTTTAATCTGGCACCCCTGTCACATCAGTGACATCATTTGTCAGGGTCTTCCCAAACCTTCACAAATGACTATTACAAAAATGCTCATATGAGTGTTTTCTGATCGGTCGCTGCCATGGTTAAGGTTTGGTAAAGTTACCACTACTCTGGGTCAAAATAATGAGACTGGAAATAGGAACAAAACATTTAGCATTTTTTAACCATTGTCCACATCTTGTGAACTATAGCACTTTAACTGTGCAACCATCTGAAAGGACAAATCAGTCCCTGATTTATCTGCTCATAACCTATACAAGTTGTTTCATATAAAGGTGTTATAAGCAAAAAAGAACTCTGAATATTCATAAACTAACTTTCATTCCAGGCATTTAGAAACAGGGCAAACCTTGCCCTGCTCCCAGAATTAAGCTGATTGTCTGCTTTACACTCTGACCTTAGACAATCGGTTTGAGCTAGTTAAAACAAAGCTAGTTATCTGAATTTTTTTCCGGGGGGAATGCAGACACTAAGACCATCGCACACTTATTTAACCTCGCTGTCTCCGCAGGACACATTGGAATGTGGAGGGACCACCATAAAACTTGGCTTAATATTCATTCGTTCTCTTTTTGACAGTGGAAATGTTCTTAGATTTTAGAATGTGAAACTGTGTTAACCAAACGCTGTGTAAAATATCTACAAGAAAGTTAGAAATGTTTTAGTAAAGCTAATAAAATATTTCTGAGCTTGTTTGTATGAAAATGTTTCAATGAGGTTTGAAGAATTTGCCTATTGTCTTCAGGATATCTGAAACTCAACCATCACAAAAGATTACTTTCAGGTGAACCTCACCACTTTTTAGAGTATTGCTCCAAACACTAGAAATTTTAAGAGCTTCTGATTTCTCCATTTCATGACTGTGCGCTTAACAAATGCTTGCTTATGTTCTTTTATTTTCAAAGTTATCCTTCTTTTGCCTTCACAGACTGGCTACATATGCCTTTTTATGTTCGAACTATGTGCTGCTTAAATCTTTTGCTTAAATGTGAGTTATTCCACAATCCAGTCGGGTGAAGATGTGTTTTGAATGTCAACAATGGTGGAGGCATGAACCTTTCGTAATGTGCCAGTCAAGAACTCGTCATGACATAGAGTCCCAGCCAGTCAGAGGACTCCAAATGATAAGACCCCTGAACAATCAGGCGAAGCCAAGTGCTTAAGCTGGCATATGACTACACGAGTCACTGCCACCCTTTGTCTCAAGAAAACAAAACAGAAAGAACTTAGAAAAAGAATAAGAAACAAAAGAATGAAGAAAGTTTGAGCCTCCAAAGTACACGTCTTGTTTTTCTCTCGTCTGCATTTTTGATTTACGCCGAATAATTTGTTAAGCTCTAAAGGCACCATCAGAGCACGCACATGATGGTGTGTTAGACATGGTTTTCCCTCGAGACATCGTCAAATGCCACAACCACAACCAGCCACTGGTGAATCCATTGTCCTGGACCCAGCTCTGGCTGCAGACTGAAAGCTGATTCATACTAAGGGAAAGGCAGATCCTACTCCAAAGATGAGGAACACCTTCTAAGCTCGCAGCCTCAAACAGTGTTCTGGAATTTCGGACCTCCACAGACCTCTACTCTGAACCAAAAAGGCTTCAAACCCAGTGCTTCTTCTTCCCTGGGCACATGAGTGTCAGGTTTGCCCGGCCACTCTGGCCTCTCTCACCTTCCTCACTCTGTCTATCTTAGCCCCTGATTGCTTACATCATACACCTGCTCCTCACTACCAGGATTAGGACCAGCTGCACTCCATTAGTCTGCCCTTATTTATACCCAGTTCACCTCTCACTCACTTGCCAGTTCGTTCATGTTATCAGGCCTTCACCTTGTCTTTTTGCTAAGTACGTCCTAGACTGTTGTTTTGTGTTGTTCC